AAGTACTGAGATTAAAGGCACACAGCACCACCCAGCTTTTTTGTTGTTGTTGTTGTTGTTAGCCAGCCTCTCGTGAAGTTCAGGTTGACCTCAAAGTGGCTATGTAGTCAAGGCTGGCTTTGAATTTCTAATACTCCTGCTCCTTCCTCCCAAATACTGGGGTTATATATATAGGTGTGTATTGCTATGCTCACTTGTTTTGTTTGCTTGTTTATTTATTTACTTTAGACAGGGTCTAATTATCCAGCCCCGGTTGGCTGGAATTCAGCATGAAGACACCAGAACCTACGCGGTGGAAGAAGAGAATCCAGTTGCTGATTCCTGGAAGTTGTCCTCTGAGCTCTACAGGCATGCTTTGGTCTTACACAAATGGTGGGGTTTGTTTGTTTGCTTGCTTGCTTGCTTGGTTTGGTCTTTTGAGACAGGATTTCTCTGTGTAGTCCTGGCTGGAACTCACTCTGTAGACCAGGCTGGCCTCTAACTCAGAGAACCAACCTGCTTCTTCGTCTTAAGTACTGGGGTCAAAGGCATATATCAACAGCACCCAGCTAATAAATGTAATAAAATGTAAAGACCAACTGGACGTGGAAGCTGTATTATGTTCTTAGACTGAAAGTTGCTTTCTGTAAAGATCTCACGTTCTCCCAAGTTTAGATATAGATTTAGTGCAATCCAAAAATAAAAAAAAAACAATAAGAATGGCATTGCAAAGTAAAAATAACAGCAAAGATACAGTTGTGAAAAATGTAGACCAACTTGCTGAGCCAGTTACCAAGATATATTTGAAGGCTACTGTAATAAAAAATATAGTACTGCCCCAGGGAAAGTTAAATTAACTTTTGATAGCTATCAGTTGTTAATTAGATATTTGATTTATGACATAGAACCTCAGAGCAGTGATTGAAAGGATATTTCACTAAGTGAAGCTCAGTTCTCTGGATTGTCACACGAGAGAAAAATTGGATATTTTCTTTTTTTATAGTTATTTTATGTGTGTTTGGGGGAGGATTTGAGACAAGGTTTCTCTGTCTATCTCTGTCTGTTCTGGAACTCACTATGTAGATCAGGCTGGTCACAAACTCACAGGGAGCAGGCTGTCCCTGCCTCCTGAGTGCTGGGATTAAAAACATGTGATACCTGGATCTTTTCTTTTAAGATTTATTTATTTATTATGTATAGTGGTCTGCCTGCATGTTTGTCTGCGGGCCAGAAGAGGGCACCAGACCTCATTACAGATGGTTGAGAGCCACCATGTGGTTGCTGGGAATTGAACTCAGGACCTCTGGAATAACAGCCAGTGCTCTTAACCTCTGAGCCACTGGATCTTTTTTTAATCACTCGCAAAAACCAATATAAGGCCAGGGAGATTGTTCAGGAGATAAAAGTGCTGGTTGCTCAAAGCTAATAACCTGAGTTCAAGCCCTAGGACTCACATGAAGGTGAAGGGAGAGAACCTCCTTCCCAAGGATGACCTCTGACCTCTATGCTAAATCATGGCATACACGCCCCCCCCCACATATTGTGTACCCACACATATAATAATTAGTGATTGGAGAAATGGCTTATGGGTTAAGAGAATTGGGTGGTCTTCCAGAGGCTCCAGGTTCAATTCCCAGCACCCATAAGGTGGCTTACAATGAATAGTGTGTTACTCCAGTCCTGGGGATTTGATGCCCTCTTCTGGTCTCTGTGGGTACTGCATGCACATGGTGCACAGATGTGCAGGCAAAACATCCATATACATAAAAAGAAATACTTTTTTTTTTTTGGTTTTTAGAGATAGGGTTTCTTTGTGTAGCCTTGGTTGTCCTCGAACTAGCTCTGTAGACCAGGCTGGCCTTGAGCTCCAAGAGATCCGCCTGCTTCTGCCTCCCAAGTAAAATTTAAATAAATTCCAGACCAAAAAGTCATATACATAACTATAACTATTTTGGAAGAAAATTATCAGAGAATATTTTTTTCACTTTGGAGTAGATGTAAGTAATTATAGATATTAAAAGTTATTAACCATAAAAGAATAAGAAATTTGACTATATTAAAATAAAATTGTGAGGTGTGATGGTGTATGCCTGTAACCCAAGCACTCTGGAGACTGAAGCTGAATGGCCTTGAGTTCAAGGCCACTTTGGACCTCATAGTGAGACCCCTATGTTAACAAATAAAATCGTGGTTGATGGGGAGGAGAGATGGCTCCGTAGTTAGGAACACTGACTGCTCTTGCAGAAGACCTAGATTGGATCTCAGGCACCCTCACTGCAGCTCACAACCTCTGTGACTCTAGGGGATCCCATGGCCTCTTCCCTCCTTGTCAGGCACTTCGTGCATGTGTACACAGACATGCCTGCTGACAAAACACCATACACACTGAAGAAACAATCAGGGTGGGAGAGATGGCTTAGCTGGTGTTCCTGTTCTAGAAGACCCTGAGAGGCCAGGAGAGGGCACTGGAGTCCCTGGAACTGGGTTTCAAACCGTCTAGTGTCTGTGCTAGGAACTATGTGCTTTTAACCACGGAGCCGCCTCTCCTGCTCCCACAGTTTTACATTTTGATAAAGTCCGATATCTGGATCAGTTTTCTGGCCTCACATTTTGCTTCAATAATAAAAGAGAAACCTCCAGAGACAGAAGCTGAAGGTAAACGTGAAGTGCCCTCTGAGGGGAAGTGGGCAGGGAACCAGTGATGTTCATGGCCCAAATTGTGCCCAATTTATGAAAAGTCATAATTATCTGTGACTGGAATATGGACACGATGGTGAGGGGATACAGGAAATCAAGAGATAGTTAGGCTGGGGGCTGACGGCAAATACACGTTAGACAAAGAATGTAGACCTTGACAGTAGAGGTGAAATGGAGCCGTTAACACAAACATTCTTCCTATTTTCCAAAATAGTCCATGTTTATTAGCAAATAATAAGAGAAACACAAATAATAAAAGCCATTTGACAATCCCAAATCCTCTTATGTGGAGAGCCATCCAGTGATGGCCTCCAGGAGGAGAGGAGAAGGGCTCAACAAAAGCAGCAGAGGAGCAGGGTGTGCTGGTGGACACCTATAATCCCAGCATTCAGAAGGCCGAGGCAGGAGGGTGGAGGCAGTTTAGACTACATAGCAAATTCATGGCTAGCCTGGTCTACATGGTAAGACTCTTATCTCAAAAATCCAAAAACAAGCCAGGCATAGTAGTGCATGCCTTTAATCCCAGAACCTGGGGAGCAGAGGCACGGGGATCTCTGTGAGTTCCAAGGACAACCTGGTCTACACAGTGAGATCCAAGACAGCTAGAGCTACATAGTGAGACACTGTCTCAAAACAAAACACAAAGGCCAACAACAAAAAGGGGAAGGTGAAGGGATGGAGATGTTTTAAATATAATTTAAAACAAATCTGCTGGGTATGATGGTCCATCCATCTAATTCCAGCACTGGGGGAGGCTGGGCAGATTTCTGTGAGTTCAAGACCAGTTTGGTCTACATAGTGAGTTATAGGACAGTTAGGGCTGTTTAAAGAAAGAAAAGAAAAAAATAAAGATGTATTTTTAAATAATTAATTTTAATCTGGGCGGTGGTGGCACAAGCCTTTAATCCCAGCACTCGGGAGGCAGAGGCAGGCGGATCTCTGTTGAGTTCGAGGCCAGCCTGGTCTACAAGAGCTAGTTCCAGGACGGGCTCCAAAGCTACAGAGAAACCCTGTCTCCAAAGACCAAAAAAATGGTAAGATTTTAGGGCTGGGATGTAGCTCAGTGGTAGAGCACTTGACCAATGGGCACGAGGCTCTGGGTTTGGGCCGTAATGCCTCTAAATACATAGAATTCCGAATTTCTGAGCAGGAGCACTGGATCAGCGTTGCCACAGTATTTTTAACTAGACATGGATCTTTTGCTTGTGTGTGCGTGCGTGCGTGTGGTGTGTGTGTTGCTTAAGTGCCACAGTATGCATGTGGAGGTCAGACCACAGTGACTTCCAGAAGTAGTTGTCCTCTTCTGTCATGTGGGGTCTGGGGATCCAACTCAAGTCGATATGTTTGGTGGCAAGGTTGTTACCGCTGGGCCATCTCACCCGCCCTGTTTTTCTCCTCCTCCTCTTTTAAACAAAGTGTAACTGTACATGAGGCTGAGCAGGGACTTGGGCTCACCCTGCTTCAACCTCAAGTGCTGGGGCTGCAGATGCGCTGGTCCACGCCTGGCTTGCAAGCAGTCTTTGAGAAGTATAAACACACTACATGTCAGTAAGTCTTATTACTATTTTTCAGTCTTATTCACTTCGTAGGCAACACGCGGCTGAGAGGCACAGGTAGCTAGAATCCGCTGCAGGATGACTTCCTCTCAGCCTTCACTTTGCTGATTGCTCAAAAACCACGAACAGAAACCAGAAAACCCCCTCCCCGCAAACAACCCTTTATCTATTTGCCCCGCTTGCTTTTCTGAAGATGGACAATGGTCTCCCAAACCGAGGAAAGATTTTTTTTTCCTTAGAGACATTTACGGAACTCCTGGCTACAGCAGAAGCTGGAGGTGTACAGATGTCTGCACATCGTCTCTGCCACCAGGACCATGAAGTCGCTCCACAGAGAGCCTGCAGTGCGCCGGGAGTACCAGCTGCTGCCCTCTTTCGGGGTAGCACATGCCGCAGAGGCCGCCGTGTTTGGGCTCCGGAGGCCGACATGGTCAAAGCTAGGAGGGCAGCCCTTTGCCATTCCCTTCTGCAGTCTACAGAAAAGGTCCTTTTCCACTGCTACAACACGTCAACCGCAGTGAAGACGCGGAGGAGCGAACGTCGTTCTATTTTAAGGACCCAGTGCGTCCCCAAGCGGAGGCTTAGCGGCTGAACTGCAGAGAAAGCGCGGAAAAGGAGGCAGGGCCGCTTTAAGTCACGCCTTCTAAGGGGCGGGGATATCTCAGGCCTCGCCCCCTGTGGACTCCATTTCCGACGCAACCTAGTCGTGCGGCTCCGATTGGCTGGTTTCTGAGCGTGAGGACGTCGCGTCGCGGGGCGGGGCGGACGAGCGGTGTCTGTCAGGGCCTGAGCTCTACGCCCCTGACCGCCGCCCCCCTCCCCCGCGGTCGCGTGGTTGCCACCTCTCGCTTCCCTTGTCGGGGGACAGGTGACGGCCGGGGCTCCGGGTGGCGGCCCAGCCTCCGGGTATCTGTCCGACAGCCGCCTCTCCGAGCCAGCCGCCGTCCTCGAGCGGGTCCCGGCCGCGGGAAGATGGCGGCCGCGCCCCGCGGCGTCTGGGAGCAGCGGCTCCTGGGCTGTGGGTCGGGACCCCTGGCGCTACTGCTCGTCCTTGCGCAGGCGCTGCTGCTGCCGCTGCTGCTGCTGCCCGCTGCCCGGGCAGGCCTGTGCCCGGCACCCTGCGCCTGCCGCCTTCCCCTGCTGGACTGCAGCCGCAGGAGGCTGCCCGCGCCCGGCTGGAGGGCACTGTCAGGCCCGCTGCCTCCCGACACTTCCAGCCTGTGAGTAGAGGGCCCGAGGGGCGCGGTCTCGGTCGCCAACCCGGGTTCTGAAGGCAATTGCCCTGCGGAGATTGTGAACTTGGAGTGTTAGCTTTGCCGGGACTCGTGGGAAGTTTGGGACTAAGATCGGGGGCCCCGGGGAGTTGGTGATGTTCTGGGCTGCAGATGGTTAACGTTGGACTCTGGCATCCTGAGCACAGCGGGTGCTCTGGGTGGCCTTGGGCCGGCTCCAAGCGTGAAGCCCTCTTTGGGCTGCATCATTTTTGTGTTCCAGTTTGACTGGTCCTTGGGCGGGCACGTGATGCAAACACGATCTCTCCCAAAAGACACACGAGCTCTCTTTTGTCCCCAGGTCTCCCATTGGCTCATTGTGTGCTCCAGGTTGAATACTTGACGGGGTTGAAAAACCTCATCATGCATAAGGAAGGTCATTGCCGACCCCGAATATTTTTGTAAGCCGTCAGTTTAAAGAAGGGAAAGATTTTTTTTTCTTCCCAAATCACGATACTTTGTTTTCACTATATTGCTTTGAGGCAGAGAACCTTCACATCAGATCTCTTTGTTTATATATGAGAGTCCAATACAGTGAGTGGATGAGTAGATTCAGGAGTCCGACTCCATATCCTGACAAACTTGTATTAGCTAGTGGCACCTGGAGCGCTCATTGGTCTGAGTCAGTAGGTATTAAATACAACGTAGGTATTAAATACTGTAATTACGGGACTTCTTAGCCACCATCATACAGTTATGTATTTTTGCCACTAGCTGAGCGACGTGCTTATTAATTGTCTTCTAGTTACCGCTGAAAAAGAGTTATCACTGAAAATGCTTTGGGGTGTAATTAAAATATGAAGAATGGTTGGGTTGTCATTGAAAATAGAATGCAGGTGGAACATCTGCATTGCAGAGGTTAAGTATAGATTTGCAGTATGACTTATAGGGTAGTATAGAGTGGGAAGAAGCTAACTCGTGTATTCATTGAGAAAGTTAGCAACTGCTACCATAAGCGTAGAATTGGAATATAGTAACACAGCTTCTGCCATCTTATGGTGGTGACAGCTGTAGCTAATTCTAGTTTTGTTGACCCAGAATTTAAGATTCTTATCATGTAGTGTAGTCTGAATTAGCATAGCATCTTCCTTATACAGCAGGTGTCTTTTTTCGAAGAAATTGTTGAGACAACTACCTGATTATGCTAGACTGTTTAAACATAAGTGTGAACACAGTATGACTTAATGTAACTGTCATTGAAATAAATATGGCCTACTTTTGGAGATCCTTCATACAGGCTTGCCGAGCATGCTTGTTTGACATGTGTGAAGGCCGGGGTTTGATCACTAGCACTGAAAAAGAAAATCATTAGTAGGTAAACATTAGAAGTAATGTTACCAGAGATGCAGAATGTCACCAGAGGCTGACATTTAGTTGTTTGTTTTGAGAGGATGCATTCAGGTAGCCCAGGCTGGCCTTCAGCTGTCTGTCCTCTTGCCTGAGTTTACGCAGTGCTGCACCATCATTCCCAGTTTGCAGTCAGAAAATTTAAATGTCCGTAATGAAACTGACATTTTCAGTTGGAGTGGAATGTCTCTGAGAATGATTCTCTTAACAGAAATGGAGTCTTCTTCCATTAGCACAAAAACTCATAAGACTGCTCAGGATAGAATTGTATTAAGTCCAGGCTGAAGCATTCTTCAGCAATTGCTATTAGCTACATAACCATCAGGTATACTTAGGGCTCCTTATGTTATCTTACATTTTTTTTCAGTGCCGGGTATGGAATCTAGGTTTTAGGCATGTTAGACAGCTGTTGTCTTACAGAGCCACACCTCAAGCACAGCTCTGATTTCTTTTTAAATTTATTAGGCATGGTCTTTATGATTATCTGTCTTAGCAATTCTCTAAAATATTTGATTTTTCAAAGTTGGGCACAGAACTTGATGTCGTGTTTTATTTAATTAAGCATATATCCATATTCATAAAGTGAAGGACCAGGTAATATTGTAACTTCTTTTCTTTTTTAAAAATATTTTATTGTATTTTTTTATTGTTTTGTATGTATGACCATGTCTGGAGGTCAGAGGATAACTTGCGGAAGTTGGTTCTCTCCTTCTAACATAGGATCCCAGTGGATCAGACTTTTGCTCTCAAGCTTAATGGCAGATACTCTCATTCTGAGTCAGGTTCTCAGCCTCCCTGACGCTGTGACACTTTAATACAGCTCCTCATGTTGTGATGACCTCAACCATAAAATGACCTTCTTTGCTACTTCATAATTGAAATTTTGCTACTGTTATGAATCATAATATAAATTGTGTTTTTTGATGGTCTTAGGCGAACCCCCGAGAAGGGTCATTTGATTCCCCCCAAAAGAGTTGTGGCCCACAATTTGAGAACTGTTGCTTTGAGCCATCTTACCAACACAAAGGTATAGCCCAGGCTAACCTGGAACTTGTGGTCCTTCTACCTCTGCTTCTGCCTTTTCAGCCTGTCCTACTTGTGTGGATCATCACAACTGGCTGAGCTTTGTATTGTCTCTATAGCTCTCCTTTTTTCAGAGCGCCATATAGTTGGTGCTATGGTTAGAATATGAAGTATCTCCCATAGGCTCACATGGTGAGAACTGGCATTGTTCCCAATCCCTTTCTGTGTCTGCCTGCTTTCTGCTGGTTGGGGTTTTGTTTTGTGTGTGTGTGTTGTTGTTGTTGGGGTTTTGTTTTGTGTGTGTGTGTTGTTGTTTGTTTGTTTGAGACAGGATCTTATTGTATAGTTCTGGCTGGCCTGAAACTCTCTCCAAGGACTAGAACTCACCCAAGTTTACCTGGCTCTGCCTCCCAAGTGTGAGTCACCACCCCTGGGGGGGGGGATTGTAAGGTTTGTTTGTTTAATTACATTTGTTTGTTTATTGAGTGTATTGGATGGGCATGTACATGCTCTGATGCATATGTGGAGGTCGGACAACCTATAGAAGTCAGTTCTCTTCTGCCATGTGGGTCCCAGGTATTGAATTTCAGGTGTCAGCCTTGGCAGCCAGCACTTTTACCTGCTGAGTCATCTTACTGGTCCCCCATTCTGCTTTCATTACAATAACTAAGACTTGTTTCCATTTGTTCCTTTAGAATAGTTGTAAACAGGTTAATTCTTTACTACATAGAGAACATTAGTTTCTGTTGAATAACTCTAGCTAAGTCATTCATCGAGTTTCCATAAACTTACAGTTTCAGCACTGTTCAAAAGTCCAAAGTCATCTGGGCCGTAGTTGCACATGCATTTAATCTCAGCACTCAGAGGGCAGAGCAGATAGTTTCTTGAGTTTGGGGCCAGCCTTGTAGCACAATTAATAAAAACCCAGAGACAGAAATTGTTTAAAACAGCATAACCTGAAGGTTAGAAATGCAAAGCAGCCTGCCGGGTCTCACCTCCACCTCAGTCTGCAATGGTGGTCTTGCCTCCTGGAATCTCAGGATGAGACTGTGAGAGCTATCTCCTCCCATCTTATATTCCTCTCTAGTGCTGGGATTAAAGGCGTGCACCACTACCACCTGTTCTGTGGCAAACTACTGTGGCTACTGGGATTAAAGGTGTGTGTCACCACTGCTTGGACTGTAAGGCTGAGCAGTGCAACTGTTTTACTCTCTGCACTTCAGGCAAACTTTATTTATTAAAATACAAATGAAATATCACTGCACAGCCTGGTCTATAGATTGAGTTCCAGGACAGCCAGAGATACACAGAATCCCTGTCCTGAAAAACAAAAACAAAACAAACAAAAAGTCCAAAGTTTCATCTAAGGCCAAAGAAGTCTTAATTGGGAGCCTCTTGCAAAATCAAAAAACAAGATTCTTACTTCTAATGTATAATGGAATAAGTATTATTCCTAAAGGGGAAATAATACATAACAAAAGAAATCAGACCAAAGGAAGACTGAATCACTTGTCAGGCAGACACCTGACCTTGTAGCTCCATGTCGTATCTGGGACTGTGATAGCATCTTCAGTTCTCCAGTGGGCTTGGGTAGCACCATATTTCCTTAGATACATTGCATAGGAGACATACGGTCTTTCCATTGGGCCTTCTTCATTTGGTGCCTTCACTTTTCCTTGTTGAACTTAACACATTTCTGGCATCACCAGTATCTTAGGTTCTCCATTGCACCTTTGGTTCCCTCTTCACAGATAGATGCATAGCAACCTACTTAGGGTATCCCTGCAGGGGATTTGATCCTTCTATAGTTTTCCTGGCCTGGCTTTCTGGAACCTTGACTCAAGCCTCCAAGACTTCCCACTCTTGCGTTCTGTGTGCTTGTAAAACTAGTACCTACCTACCTAACCCTGTTAGACCACAGCTATAGGGGCTGTTGGGTGTTTGCTTAGCTGAAAATATTTATTTTCTGTGTGACTGTATTCTCAGTTCAGGTATTCTCTTTTCAAATGAATTTCATTTTTACAAGTCGGTGCCTTTGATGAATGGTGTCTTCCACTCAAGGCATCTTTCCTGTTGTCCCTGTGTAAAGTGTGTAATTTTTCCTTAATGGTGCCTTCTCAACAAATATAGCAGATTTGTTTATACTCTTTTCATGGCTTTAAGCAGGTTCGTGTTCTTTTCCTGATTCAACTGCTTATTTTCCATATCCTGTCCACTTTCTGATTTGAATTCTCACTATAAACTTTCCTAAGCATACTAAGAAGTAACTCTGACCCAGTCTGAATGTATGCTGTTTTAAATTTTCTTCCATCAAACTTAGTCAATTATTTTGAATTCAGCCTCACCAAAAATTTCAAAACACAGGCAGAATGCAGCCATGTTCCTTGTCAGAATTTGTAATGTGACTGCTGTCTAGTCTAATTTCCAATAGAGTCCTTGTTCTCTGAAGCTTTATGAGCATAGCCTCTACTGTTTATACTTTTATCAGCATTTTGGTGGTATCAATATGTGGCTCACTAACCTGTGTGTCTTAATGTTCTAGAGCTTCTCTAAACCATAGTTTAGAGAAATTATTTCTC